CTACAAAATCATATTTACTTCCTGGTAATTACTTAAAGATAGTGGTTTTCTGTCATCAGCTTTATTGTTTGTATTATCCTTCAAAAAATTGAAGGAATATTTTAAGAAACAGGGAAAAGGCATACAGCAGCCTTACCCATAATCAAATGCAGTGATTTAGCTCAGTGATACTGAAAATTTATCATGCCAAAGTAGGTTAACTGCTTCTATGCTGCCTTATGAGACTTCCAGTACACAATGAGAAAAAGTTTAGTAAGATGCTTAAGTTGACTTACATAGTCCAAAAAGAAATAATTCCCCAGCTCTTTATGACTGGATGTAAAAGCCTTTTCCTAATATCACCCATATGCACACAGAGCTAAGCACATTAACTTACCATTTTCTAGGACTGATATTTAGAATTTAAATCTGTATTAGCTTGTACTGTAGGTCCAGCATCTGAAACATTTTGTTCTACTTACACAAACAAGATGAGGGCCTCAAACTTACTTAAAACTCATATGAGGTAGGTAGAACCATTGTGGCTTCATCTGAGAAACATACTAAGATGCACAACAGCAGATGCATTAGTTTTGACACTGTGTGAGGTAGTTTGTGGAAGAAATTGGGGTACATTGTGCTTTCTAAGAGAAAATACACTGTCATGGCAGAACATGCAATTCTTGGTGGTATTTATTTAAGAGCTAAATCCAGCTGAAAATGCAATTTACACTTAGAGATTAAGAAACTTTTGGATGAAGATTTAGTTCACCTGAATAATAAAGCTATAAATATGATTGGAAATTCCCCCTCCCCAACCTACTCAAGCAAGGAACAACCTAACTCCTCTAGGTTCTCTCTCAGCACTATATAAACAATTCCAATTAAGTCAAGGACGTTACTCTTCATTAATCTCTTCTAGTTCTTCTGTATGGGATTTACTTCAAGCAATCAACCAAGACACATGAAGAGAAATTGCAGTACACAAGTTAGTGATCAAGTATAGTAAATAACAGTGAGTTTTAACAGAAAACTTTGTCTTTTGCTTTGAGTGCTTTTATCTGATACGAGAATAAACTGAGCATCTGTTGAGTGACTATCTGCATTTCACTAGAACAGGAAATATAATAGTGTGAACAACAACAAAAAAGTAAATCAGTCATCATGCCCTGCTGTCTGGCTGGTGATTGTACATAAACACAAGTCCCTATTATTGTAAAGTCAATCTAGACAAACACTGGACTGGACATGTGGTGTTTTGGAGCTAAGAAGTCGTCAGACTAGATTTGAAAATTAGTATTTATGAAACCAAGAGATCACTTCAGATTAAATGTTTAAGTGCAAAAGTGTAATACTGCTACTCCTGTGGGTTAAAGGGTAAGTCTATACACTCAATGCATATCAATAACAAACAATAACTAACTGATCCTCTTAAACATCCCAGCTTTATCCTCTCTACCCTTACCCAACTGAACAGGCTTCTCTGGGATACCAGATTTGTACACTGCAGTAAGTTAGATAACAAAGTATATAGAGCAATTGGGAATTACAACCTCTTAAAATTTCCAGTACTATTAAAATGTATGAATTTATAGTCCTATAGCACAAACAGCATAAAAACTCTTTGAAGTCCTTATGACTCTCATGAAGTTCAGCAAGGTCAAGTGGAAGGCCCTGCATCTGGGACAAGGAAATCCCAAGCCACAAACAGACTGGGTGGGGAACAGACTGAGAGGAGCCCTGGGGTGGGAGGACTTGGGGATGTTGCTGGGTGAAAAGCTCAGCATGACCCAGCAATGTGCACTTGCAGCTCAGAAAGCCAAACATCCTGGGCTGCATCAAAATCAGCCAGCCAGCAGGGCAAGGCTGGCGATTCTGCCCCTCTGCTCTGCTCTGGTGAGAGCCCAGCTGGAGGGCTGTGCCCACCTCTGGGGTGCTCAGCAAAAGAAGGATGTGGATCTGTTGGAGCAGGTCCAGAGGAAGGTCACAAAGATGATCACAGGGCTGCAGTACCTTGCCAAAGAAAAGAGGCTGTTCCAAGTGGAGAAGAGAAGGCCCTGGGGAGAACTTAGAGAAGCCTTCCAGTACTTAAAGGGGACCAACAAGAGAGCCGGAGAGGGACTTTGTACAAGGGCATGTTGTGACAGGACAAGGGGAAAGGGTTTAACTAAACATAACTAAAAGGGCTTGAATCTAAACTAAACCAAGGGTAGGTTTAGATCAAATATTATGAAGAAATTATTGAAATTCTTTACTGAAACAGGCTGTCCAGAGAAGCTGTGCATCTCCCATCCTAGGAGTGCTCAAAGCCTGGCTGGATGGGGCTTTGTGCAATGTGGTCTAATGGAAGATGTACCTGTCCATGGCGGGGTGGTTGGAACTGGAGGGTCGTGAAGGTCCCGTGCAGTCCAAACCATTCTGTAATTCTATGATTCTACAGTTGTTGATAATACATAAGCAACACTTAATTTTGTCAGTCATGACAAAATTTTCTATTCAGTTTGGTTTTTCTTTATGAAAAGAGCTAGAAACTAGATTTTGAACTGAACTACAAGCTTAAAAAGAAGATTTCAGGTTGGGGGCAGGGTTGCCATCCTTGCATAGAAGGCATTGTCTGTTACAAATAAAGAGCTCATTAGGAAGGAAGTGCTGAGTGTACCATGCAGTACCAAAACAATTACTTTGTTAATATGCAGATCCAGTGAAGCCAAATTTGAGTCTTGTACTAACAACAGTGCCTGGTATCATTAGACAAAGGAATACTTGCAGTCAAGGCAGTATGTTACAAAAGGAACACAAACACAAGGACTTAAATTTATCCACAATTAGATGGCAAGGACCCAAGACAGTCTTATGGAAGCTCAGGCCACCTATCCACTAACACTAATAATACACAAACATTGGTATTTTAGGTTGAGTGCAGCTGCTTCACTCCACTCCTGATACCTCCTCTGGGGTAACTATTTACTTACATAATTTGCCAATACCACAAACACAAAAGTCAGTTCCATTTCAACAAATAAATCTAAAAAGAAACAAACTTACTTCTTTGGTCCCTGAGGATCGATGTGTTGCTCTAACATTAGAAATGTGCCTTGATCTTGCTGGAGTCACCAATGGAAGAGCAGTAGAAAGCTGAGGAGGACTCAAAGACAACAAAGGCAATCTGGTATCTCCTAATATGCACTGCTTGGAATTGGAATTTTTACTGGTGAAGTTCTTATTTTTACTGTTTCCTGAATCTGTGTTACCAAACTCCTTTTCCTCCTTATTCTTGATTCTTCTCAAGCAGTCCTTTAGTATTAGCTGAGTGGCAGGCTGACTCAACCAGTACAAAAAGAGTTCATCCACCTTCATTTTCACTGCAGGTTGCAGAACTTTTCCAGGTGACATTTTCTGCCAGTTTCCCTGTTTTGTTGGTTCAAATTCAAAGTAAATATTTGACAATCATATAAATATTCCATTCACCTTTCAGTGTTTCACAGGCATTATTTAACAAAGTGTTAATATTGATTCCCTCAAGATACCAACAGAAGCTGAGAATTATATTTTAACATATGACTTCAACAACATTTTATAAGTGTAAGCCATAAATCAGTCACAGTCAATTCCAATAATTTCTTTTAAATAATGGATAACTTATTTTAAAAGCATACTGTGTAAATGGTGGACACTGGAGAACAAGAAATTGCACTTGGGCTTTTTCAAAAAGATAGCTAACAAATATTACAAATATCCTCTAAGAAACTGTGTTAAAAACACATGTATTATGGAAACTAGGACTGGAAAATACTTATAATTGAACATACTAAGAAGCAAATATCTAAGCAGTTTATGTTAAACCCTGGTGATAAAACAAATAAGATTTAATAAGCAAGTCTTTCAGTCAAGAGATTTAGAACTAAGACTGAAGGCTCGATTTTCATTCTGAGGTTGTGATATGGATTCCACATCTTGCATCCCCCCATGTGAGAGATTCCCAAAGCCTTGCCATTTGATATTTTAAAACCTCTTATTTGACATTCACTTTTACAGCTTTTCAAAACAAATGTAAAATCCAAAATCCAATGTAACTCAAGAACTGGGACAGTATGATTTCAGGTTCAGTTACACACCTAAAAAAACCCCAGGTTTTTGGTGTTTTTTAGTTTTTCTAGGTTTTTTTTTGTTGTTGTTGGTTTTTTTTGTGTGTGTTAGAGAGACAGAGGATTGGAATGAAACACTGAGAACAGAACAAAATTTACTATAAAAATTTTCAGCATCCAATTACTTCATGATTTGGTACAGTTCAAATAAAAACCTATGCTTCCTTCCGTCTGTGCTTTTTTTTTAAAGCCCTTCACAAAATTTAATCTATATACAAAAATCACATAATAAAAGATACATGATTGATGATCTTAGACGTCTCTTCAAACCTAAATGATTCTATATACAAATACTTGGCTGAACAAGCCTTAAAACAAGCACTTCAGTTTGGAACCGAATAACACCTGGCAAGCGAACATCCTACTAAAACCTAAAGCTCATCCTCGTCCCACGGCAGAGCGAGAAGCCTTTTAGAAGTGCACCACCTAAACTTTCTGAACCTCGATAACTACGCAGTTCAGTTATTCCGATTCTAAAAGTGAAGAAAACTCGTCTCCTTACTTTTTAAAGCTCAACTCCGTCACGGCGCCGGCGGTTGCGCTCAGGCACCCTCAAGCGCCACCCGCCTGGAAAGGAACGGTCCTGGGCAGGGGCCAGCCCGGCACCGCCCCGGCGCGGGGAGCCGGCGCTGCGGCCACAGGCTCGCTCCGCTCGGCCGGGCCCCGCACTGAGCCCGCAGCAGCAGCTCCGGAGCGCCGTGACTCCACAGCCCCCACCAGCCACGTTCACCGGCCCCGTTCCGCATCCGCCATGGCCCCTTCCCGCCGCCGCCGCCTTCAAACGCGCGCCTCCTTCAGGCCCGGCCCGGCCCGGCTGCCGCCATCTCGCGAGAGCGCGGCCCTTCCGCCCCGCGGGACGCGGCCGCTGGTCGCCATGGCGACGGGCCAGACGGGGCCGCCGGACCGACGCTGCCCGGCCCTGCCCGGCCCTGACCGAGCCACCACCACCGCCGCCGTATGAGCTCAACTTAGAGCTCTGACAAGGTCTTGGCCTCTGACGGGCTGCTCCTCACTGGTTCTCTGCGAGGAGCTGGCAAAGGGATGAAGAGGCAGAGTATTTCCTCAGCAAGTTTGCTGATGGCGCAAAGCTGGGAGGAGTGGCCGATATCCCAGAGGGCTGTGCAGCCCTTCGGAAAGATCTCGACGGCTTGAAGAGAGGGTCAGAGAAGAACTGTTTGGAATTCAACAAAGGCAAATTGCTCCCTGCACGTGGGGAGGAACCACCCTGGCACCAGCACAGGCTGGGGCTGACCTGCGGGGGAGAAGCTCTGCCGAGAAGGACCTGGATGTCCTGGTGGACACGAGCTGTCCCTGAGCCAGCAGTGTGTCCTTGGGGACAAGGCCGGTGCTGTCCAGGGATGCACAAGGAGGAGCATTGCCAGCAGGTCTAGGGAGGTTGTTCTGCCCCTCTACTCAGCCCTGGTGAGGTCCCATCTGGGTTCTGGTCTTCCCAGCCCAAGACACTCCTGGAGAGGGTCCAGCAGAGGGTGACAAAGAGAGTAAGGTGACAGGAGCATCTCTGTTAAGAGGAAAGGCAGGGGGAGCTGGGCCTGTTCAGCCTCGAGAAGACATGACTAGGAGGGGACCTTATTAATATGTATAATATTATTATATTATATTATATTATATTATATTATATTATATTATATTATATTATATTATATTATATTATTATAATATATTATTATATTATATTATATTATATATATTATATATATATTATATATATTATAATATATATTAAAAGGGAATGGGTCCAGACACTTCTTGGTGATGCCAACCACTAGGACATGAGGCAAGGGCCAGAAACTGATGCACAGGAAGCTCCACCTGAATATGAGCAAGAATGTCTTTACTGTGCAGGTGACCACACACTGGAACAGATTGCCCAGAGAGGTTGTAGAGTCTCCCTTGTGGAAGATGTACAAGAACCATCTTGTGTGCCATGTGCTCTAGGATGTGCCCTTCTGTGCCATGTGCTCTAGGATGAGCCTGCCTCAGCAGAGAGGTTGGATCAGATGACCCACTGTAATCCCTTCCACACAATTTACCCATTCTGTGGTTCTGTGAAAGTGAGCTGGTTCCATCTGCTAAATGCTGTTAAAAGAAGAACACTAAATGCTCTTTCTACACAATGGCTATGGTTACCACTAGTGTTATGGGATTGCAAATGATAGGATGAAAGAGGAGGTGAAGGCAGTAACAAATAGAAGGATAATCCCCTTACTAAGAGAACGATGTGTGCTAGTCTGTTTGCAGCCCCGTTTTTGTATTGGAAAACATACACTGGGATTTTGTGGTTGCCAGCTTTCAGGGCTGTCACCCCTTTGAGGCTCCATGGATGCACTTATCAGTGGGGTTTAGGTGGTTGACCATTGGCCCATATAGTTTTTTTTCTTTGGTATTTTTTGCATCGGTGATGCATTGGTATTTTTACATCAGAGACGCATTGGTATTTTTAATCAGGCTCCCTTTTTCCACTGCACTGATTTTTCCTCATGCGGCTATGCATCACTTTTGTTAATCCATTTTACATTCTGCCAATTTCGTTACCAGCAGACACTCTCCAGATTTATGACAGGTTATTATTACAAATTGTTGGAACAATAATGCTGTGGAAATGGGGCTGTACTGAAGATGATACAGTGGTTTGGAGGTAAGGCTTGAAAATGTAGGCAAGAGTAAAATAGGGTAAGTGAAGGAATGGGCTTGCTTTCTCATTTTTGGAAGCTTGTGGAGAAGACACAAAGATAAGAAAGGGCTTAGAAGAAGCAAAAGCCAAGATGCTGTGAGAGAAATCTGGTACAGTCCAACACAATTACATTTAGCTAATACCAGAATGATATTTTGTTAATAACAGTCATCTGGCAAAACCCAGTATTATTCTTCTGAGTATATCAGAAGACTTTGGCTTCCAGTTGTAAACACTGAAATATATTTTCACAAGTCTTAAAATGAGATTGTGCATGTAAGAAGACATTGAAAGTTCTTGAGGGAGTCTCCACTCTTTGAAGTGGGGTAGTATTCTGTTTCCTGCCCATTGGTTGGTGAAGTTAGAAAATATGTTTTTGCAAAGCCACAGTGGACAAAATGGTATTTTTTAAACTGGAGTAGAACATTCAACATAACACAGTGGAAGCAGATGTCAAAGTATGGATAAATCTGTGTATATTATGGAAGTAGCTTTTAAGTAGAGAAAAGAAATTTAAAACCCTGTGTTATGGATAGCAGCAAGATTTTTGGCGGAGAACTGAAGGGCTGAATTAAGAAGACTGATAGCAGAGCAAGAGACATGGAACAAAGAGCACTTTTAAAACATTTTGAATGCCTTTGAAGCATTCCTTAGTGATGGTGTAGCCATCTGTTGATTGACATGTTGAAGACAGGTGGAAAGAAGGGGATCAGAGACTGACTTAACAGAGTTGTAGAGTTGGATATCATCTGCAAAGAGATGATGCCCTTTGTTGAAACTGGCAATGAGATCTCCCAGAGGAACATTAGAAATAAGAAAAAAAGAAATGAAAAAAACGCCCCTCTGAGAGATGCACACAGTCATAGTGTTCTGTCATGCAAGCTAGTGTAGATTCAAAGCAATTCTAACTCTGACTTCATTAGACTGTGTCATGGATAACATTGGTGTGAGAGAGGAATCGATTCCATGTGCCTTCTGTCAAGCAGAAAACACTTTGGGCATCCTCATCAGATGGTACCAGTAGTGGCAATTGAGACAGATGTTTTGAACTTGTGTCTATTTGAATCAGGTCTACTCAGCAGTGTATCTACTGGTAGGGGTGTGTTTTTGTAGAGATACAGGGGCTCAAACTTGGCCGAAAGTGGAGAAATACCTAAACTGAACCTCTTCATTCAGATCTTCCACTGAGAATTGAAACTTTAAATTCTTTTTGACTATTTCCTTGTTCTTGCTTGACATAGTGATTACAGAAGCTGAACCTTTTTTACATTGCTTTAAATGGATGGAAAACAAAAATCTGTTCTAGTGTCTTACCATTTTTATGAAATGTATCCATTTGGTTTAAAGATGGTCTCCTTTAAAATCCATTGAATAATTATTACTTATTAAAGTACCAAGCATACAGTATCCAACTGAAAGTTTAGTGATGGAGTCACACTTAGCATTGCTGTAAAAGACACAGACTGTGCTTTAGGTAAGGCACTTGTTTAATAAGTGCAAGAGAGTGGTGCATTGATATAGTTTGAGCCAGTTAATAACAGGAGTGCTGGGGCCTAACAGCCCAGTGCAGTGGCGTTAGTGCACCGTGCTGGTGTGGCTGTGTAGCACAGTACCTCCCTCCATGCTGAGTGTGAGGTACTAACCCCAGAGCAGAAACTGAAGAGCCACATCCACCTCTTGTTGCTCTGTTGCCTACAGCTCCTTTCTGACCTTGCTTCACTGCTATTGACTCAGCAGGTGTGATGCTAGCAGCACTGCCAATGTACATTCCTGGCTAAATATCAAAGTCATCCTTTGCCTTTATTTGTCACTGCGTACAGTGACACAGGGCAGGGGTGTTCATAAGGAATATTTCCATTCCTAATCAACATTTTGCAGTGACAGCTGGGCTTCTTTCTGATAACCTTGGGTCTGTACAACTTAGACATACAGCTAATAAAGAGATGTCTCCAATCTCCCTGTGCTAAAGCAACATTTCTGAGGCCTGATAAATGTTATCCAGAGGGAGACATATAACCTAGATCAGCTGTAACATGACTTAAAAGTGTTCCCCTCCACTACTTAATAAGAATCTCAATTAGTATTTGAAACATACACAACTACATTTTAGGAGTCTAAAGTTAGATAGGATAAATGCTTTTGGAGTATTATATTTACTTGCTTGCACAGGTCTGTGTCTGATGTGCTCTCATCCAGCCTCAAAAGCAGAGTTATCATCCTTAAACAGACTGGCAGTTTGAGATGTGCTGGAGATCAAAATACAGTTCACTGCAGGATCTTTCTGAGTCCTTGTTCTGGAGCTTTTCATGTGCCTTTGTGCTGGTTTATCTGGGGAGGGGTTAACTTTCTTCACAGGAGCTGGTATGGGGCTTGCTTTGGATTTGTATTGAACAGGGATAAATGTTTTTGGTATTGCTGAGCAGGGCTTGTGCAGAGCCAAAGCCTTTTCTGCTTTTCCTACTGCCATGCTGATGAGCAGACTATGGATGCATGGGAGATTGTGAGCCAGGACAGCCGACTCCAACAGACCAAAGGGATGTTCCAGACTATATGACACCATGATCAGTATATAAAAAGAGGGGAAGAGGAAGGAAGAGGGGGATGTTTGTCTTGTCTTCTCAAGTCACTTCTGTATGATGGAGCCCTGCTCTCCTGGAGATGCCTGAACACCTACGTGCCCATGGAAGCAGTGAATTAATGTCATTGTTTTGTTTTGCTTGTGTGCATAGCTTTTGCCTTTCCTCTTAAACTGTGTTTATCTCAACCCATGAGTTTTCTAGTTTTCTCACTTTTACCTTTCCAATTCTCTCCTTGATCCTGCTGGGGGGGGAATGAGTGAGCAGCTGTGTGGTATTTGGTTGATGGCTGGGGTTAAACCATGATAGCCTGTCACTCAGGGGAGAGAACTACAGTACCTCTTTTGAATGCTGCTTTAAAGACAATATTGCATTTTGATTAAGCTTTTGTTTTTATCATGCTTTTATAGTGCTTTTGCTGACATATTTCACAACTTTGAAATTTAGGCGTGTGAAGTCCAGTTCTAACCTATATATAAGCACTAAAATAACTGTGTCCTGATTTCCTGATGTGCTATTTAGTTGGAAGCAGGTGTGCCGAATGCCTCTGATAAACCAGTCACTTTTATTTAAAGTTTTGTTGTTATTGAAAAGTTTGGCCTGATGGGTTCATGGAGGCTGTGCTGCCAAGGTGATGCTCCTTGTAAACCTGCTTATGGTATGCAGTCAGAGACACTTCAGAGCAGTGTAAATGTTGCTTTCCACTAAGTAAAGGATAAGTCTAACATACTTTATGTTAGACTTTAGTGACATATGTCACTCAGATTGCTAGTCCTGGTACTAATTTGTGGGGGAATGAAGAGATGCATTCCTTATGCTGCATCATTTAAAATGAAGATAGATATTAAGAAAATGGTAGTAAATGGTAATCCATTGGACTATGTACCCATACCAGCTAACTATACCACTCCATCCTGTCTTGCATCAGCTTACCAAAAATAGAGCTGGAATGGTGAACTATAGGTCATATGGCCTCCAGAAGTAGCATCATAAGCAGGCAAAAATATGTCAGCAATGCTGACTTGGTGCACGTGTTTGGCAGCCAGCAATGCTCTCCAAAGAGCCTAATACTGAGATGGGAGGCTTGAATTTTCTCTGTCTCCTACCACCTTGAGGTAGAATACTGCAGTAATATAGGATCTGGTTAGTAGCTTGCTGGTGCACAACTCCTTAAGAGCAAATAAGAGATATAATTACAAATTATTTTGTAACCTGCCAGCTTGTGTTATGAGTAGAGGCATTTAAACATTCTGTACTTGCAGACATATTTTGTTTTCTCCTTGTCACATGCACCATGTAGTTAGAATAAGGCCTTGTCACTGGCTCTCTCCTTAGCTGAGCAGTTGGTTTAAAGCAGGAATATTATATCTCTGCAAGAAAAAGAAAAAAAGAGTATAAATCTAGATACTGTAAGAGCAGGTGCACTACAAGCTAAAGGAGAAAATTGATTCAGCAGTTGTTTGCCATCATGTTTTTAGATTAATTCTTGCTGCATATCACTGCAGGGTTCTAGCAATGAGCAGTTCTTACACATTTTACTGAATTACTGTTGGTGTGTTGTTTTTTTCCACAGGGGCCTTGGACTGAACGATGTTTACAGCAGTCCAGATGTGAAGGTTGGTTCTGTATTAAGTCACCCTGATCTTCTAATCCCAGGTTCACATACTTCTGGTGCTGTATTTTATCCGATGGTTTTATCTAGCTTTGTATCCAGGTCACAGGGAGTTTACGGAAAACTGCTTGAAATGCAGTCTCTGGGGTGGTGTTTAACAAGGTGTGCGTGAGGATGTTTATGGGGTGTGAGAATGGGAGTCCATTCATTCTCCACGTTGAGTGTTACTGAGCCCAGTTCTCTTCTAACCTTGTCCTGGTGCAATCATTAAAGGGAAGAGAAGACTCTGAGCTCTTGTATCCAGCAGCCTGTAATGTCTGCCAGCTACTTGTCTGCTACCATGCCCAGGTGCTTGGCTCTTGCATCTCCATCCCCTGGCTAGGACCCAGTCTGAAGAGCTGAGACCTGAACTTGTTTTGGAATAGAATCTACTTTTCTTTGTTTCATCAGAGCAGTCTTCATCAGATTATCAATGGGGCAGTGTAAAACAGTGCCTCTACTATTTTTCTACTTTGGCAGTTCTAAAGAAATGTAAATCATGTAATGGACAAGTATATTTTTATTACTTGGTATCCACAACTGTTTCAGTAATAACATGAATATTTATAGAGCAGGGTCTTTTGAATATCCATGTACATAAATACATGCAGTAAATAGAAACTGCAGTAAACCACAGAATTTTGCCAGCTACCACTGCTCTAATTAGCTCACGGAACTAAAAATAATTAATATAGTTAGTTGTTGGATTACAATACAATGAGAAGTACACACCTAATAAATCACATTGTTTTTATTATTATTTGCTAAGTATCTGGCTGCTTGAGTAATATTTTACAACTTTGGCTAAATTCACCTTGTGCTCTTCAAAGTCAGTAGCAAGATTTCCAGTTTTCATAATGCTATGAGATCAGACACCTATGCTCTGGGGGGCTTAATTCACTGCTGCATTACTCCATTTACAAGATCTGATCTGCGATTTGACCGCTATTTTCATTCAGCAAAACTAAAAGATTAACTATTTTTAAATTTATGAGCTAATTAGTACACTAATACAAACCACATTTATAATTTTCCTGAGTTTGCTTAATCCTTCTTCATTATGCAAGTCAGTTCAGATGTCTGTAAAAGCTTACAGGAAAAAAAAAGAAAAGTATTTGTTTTCATTTTCATTAGGGAAAAGTGAAAATTCCAAAAGATTCTGGGCAGACAGAGCTACATTCTTTTGCTCTCGTTAAAGTCCTTTTAGTTACAGTAGTTAGAGGAGGAAAACACTGTGCAGCTCTCGGCATATGTCTGCAAGGTTGCCAACACCAATAATTTTATCACAAGTTTAATAAGATTTAGTGTTTTTCTTATAAAGCTCCAGAGTCCCATGATTATGTAATAATGTTATCTTCCATTAAATGTGCATGTTAAAAGGAGTCCTTGTAGTTGCAAAGAAAGTATTGGAAATACAAAATTATTGGTTCAAAAATCCAAATTAAAGAGCCCCAGATTAATTTCTTTAAAATCCAGGGTTTAGAGGCAATCTCAGATTTTGAAAAGTGTTTTTTAATCAAAATATTGTGTCAGTAGTGGCACTCATTCCAGCAGTATTGCTCTTCAAGTATTTTTTGTATAGAATCTGGTGCTACTTTCTTGGTATTCTTCTCCTACTCTATAAACTTCACTTAAGACACAGAAACCCCACACGTTTTTCTGATTTAAGTGCATCAGAATGCTGAGACGTAGGGTTAAGAATTGGCTACATATTTTAGATATTGGAGCCAGACAGCAATTCAGTCTAATAATGTGCATGTCTACTATTTCCTGAAAATTTGCTGGTACATGACCCTTTATATGCATATATGTGACCCTACAACAAATTCTTTTATGTGGTGCCAAAAAATGGCATTAGCTTCAGCTGCTTTATTAAATTGCTACCCAAGCTGGCATGCATTCAGAGCGTATCAGTGGCTCGCGCTGCTGTGCCAGCTAACATGGGAACCTCTGCTTCTCTCCTGGCTCACTGGGTTAGCACACAGATGAAGAGCAAAAGCCTCTTGAGCGCTGGGCCAGAGTATTTTGCACACTGTCACAGCCATGTTTGTCCTTTGGTCTGAAAGGAGCACTGGAGGGGCACTAACAGTGGCTGTCTGAGCTGCTCTGCTCCTCCAGTCCTCAGTGAGGCAGCATATGCAGCAGACAAGGAGTCTGGCTTTTGAGAAGCATTTATGAAATAGGCTGCAGCTGTGATGAACGATACTGTTCCCAACTAAATATTCTGTCCCAGAGACAAGGTTAGAGAAATAGTCCCTGTAATTAACATTTACCTTTAATACTACCAGCTAAAAAAAGAAGTGAATGTGACAGCAGTCAGCAACTGCCAAGGTATAGATCCAATATGGGACTATTATGGAAATGAAAAAAGTGCACACTGGAAGAAGACAAAGCTTGCATAATGTTCCACATGATCCTGGGCAAAATAATTGCAGCTAAAGAATGTAATTTGAATGTATGAAGAGTATTCACAGGGGCTAAATTTATCTGGGTGATGCAGACTCCTCTGGGCTGGAGCTGGTTTCCTGATCTGAACTGCCCTCCAGAAGAGCCTGTTGGTATCCCTGGGTTGTGAAAGTTCCCCCATGGGCCTTAGTGGCCATAGGCTAATATGGCCTTTGGGAATAGTTCCCCATGGTAACATGAAACTAGCTTGTATTAGTATTTCAATGCTGCTGTTTCCTGACTTTTAAGCACTTCCTCACATATCTTGACTGTCCTGACTCAGTACTTAGCCCTTCTGCAAGGACTGGTACTAAGAATTTTTCTGGAAGGAACAAGATTGGAATGCAGCTTTTCAATAAAACTAAAATATTTTTCTAATTTTCCTTTTTACTGTGTAGTAAAAATTGCTGTCATATGTGTTTTACACTTCTGATATTTTCATAGAGGTGTTCACAAAAAACCATTCCAAATAAGTCAGCAGAAGTAAACTCATGCAGCAAATGTCCTTAGTTCTGGACCTTGAAATGCAGATAATAGATTAGTCAGAACTATGCACTTGTTTTCCATCCTGTTCAGGACAGAGGACAAGCTTCTACTTGAATTGCCTGCAAATCACATGCTTAAAACTTCTTCTGTGACATATTAATTTTTGTGTTTCTGATTATATAACACACTCCAAACTTTGTGTATCTATTTGGTATCTATTCACTTTTACCTGTAAAATAGTGCATTTTAATTATTTATATTCCTGCAAGTCCTGAAGATGTAAGGGACCTGGGAAGGGTAGTTGGGCTCTTACTTTCTTGTTCATCAGTGTACCTGTTAGTGGCTTCCGTTGCAGAACCACCCTTGTGCCATATAGTGCTGCATGTAATGTTTGGTTCCTCAATTGCTGTTATAGGAAAAGTTGAAAATTGTAATTTTTTTTTTAATCTGGGGCTTGACTGATGTCACTGTCATATTTTCTGAAAAATTTCTTTGGCCAGGATTTTCTCCTGGGAAGCTGAGAAGCCTCAGAGAAAAGTGAAAACAATAATTATCTGATTTGCTTCTCCTGTGTTTTGCTGCTTTGGAATGTGTTTGGACATTGTTTATCAACAGGTGATCGTTTCATTGGTTTCATGTGAGTTGTTTTTACTTAATGGCCAATCAGTGCCAAGCTGTGTCAAGACTCTGGAAAGAGTCACAAGTTTTTATTTAGCCTTCTGTCTGTATCCTTTCTGTATTCTTTAGTATAGTTTAGTATAGTATTCTTTAATATAATATAGAATCATAAAATAATAAATTAGCCTTCTAAGAACCTGGAGTCAGATGCATCATTCCTTCCTTCATCTGTGAACCCTGAAAATACAACAGACTGCAATTAATATATTTGTGTGTCTTCTTAGGTTCAGCTCTTCTCTCCACATCTGCTGGTGGGTCACAGGTATTCACCATTTCCTGCAAATATGTCTTAATTTAAGAGTTAGTTCAACATTAAGAGCTTTAACTTCTAAGTATTTCTAAAAAAGCCATTATCCTTGATAGTCTGAGCACTTATCCTGCTTCTCAGAGTGCTTCTGTGCATACTTTTTGCACTTGCCTCACACCCCATCTTTACCCTGTGCCTGTGAAACTGCACAAGCTGTGAAACTGCACAAGCTAATTTGTGTTCTCTAAGTAACCCATAGGTTACTTAGAGAACACAAATTCCCTGTGAGCATGCCCAGCATCATGCAGAGCTCTGTCTTTCCCCAGAGGAAGATCAAGTCTGAGCACTGCTTACTTGTGGTGTGGAGGAAGAAAAATTGATGAAAAATGTTCTTCCCTAGTTCAAAAGGTGTGTCTGCCAGGTATGGGGAAGTTTCTCTGAACAGGAGTTCCCCTCATCCTGCTGTCCTGGATAATGCCTGTGCACCAGGTTCATGTGTATGAAGTGAGAGCAGAAACATAGAGAAGGAACAAATTCTAGTACAGTCAGTAAGAGCAGCCTAGGACTTATTTTTAACACAGTGCCTTAACATTTAGGTTGCTGCATCACATTTTTGATTAAGTGTTAGTGGTGCCTACAGCTAGGCATTCCTTGTGGCTTAAATACTCCAAATAATTAGAAAAGAAATAACTGGTATGCAGTATTTGAAAATCAAACTGCGTAATTCTGTGCACCTCTAGAAGGGAGGAAAGTAGCTATTGATGGAATTTTTAAGCCAAACGAAATTTATGCAGTGTCATTATACTCTTGTTTTCCTGGGGACATATTGTCCAAGGCCAAATGTCCAAGTAAGTTTCATCAATAGTGTGATGCCAAGCTGGGATTGTTCAAATCAGTTGTTGTTTTGGGGTTGAACTTCACAAGTAGCAAGAGGATTTTCCAAAATTAAATGATAGTCCTTGGAAAAAAATGAGATGCCTGATGAAATTATTTGACAAAACTTTCAGGGATGGAAATGAAACATTGCAATGGTTTAGTATATCAAGCAGCTTGAAGTGATTAAAAGGGCTGTGTTTTATTCTCAAAAAGCATTTAAGACATATTAAAAGGCTTCAGTAACCCCCCACTGAACATTGCAGGCACATTCTGAGAACAGGTCTGTTTTTCCCCCAGTTTTGTACTCGTTCATCTGAGCACTCTTACAACGATGCCTGCATTTCCCCCCAAAGGTGGCTGATTTTCACATCTTCTAACTGACATAAATTCTTAATGTTTTACTATACTTTCTGTGGTGGAGATGTTATTGGTTAGATAATAAGAAAAAACCCCAGTTCTACCATGTAATGTGCATTTTTTGCACCTTATGAGAATATTGAATAGACTTCATTATTTTTTTCAATACAAGTCTGAATTCTACCATTTGATTACCTGAACCAAAAGCATTTCAATTTGCCATCCATCACCCTGACCAGTGTAAAATGCTGAATATTCAGATTAAATTGGAACTTTTTTTCTATGAATAAGGAATTTGATTCAATTCTATAATATACAGTGTCTCTGGGGAGAGGAAATTGAGCTGAAGGTCGCTGAAGGCAAGTGAGAAAATTGTATTATCCAAATACAAAATTCTTTTTCTTATCATCAAAACCTGAAATACAGCCATGGGGAATAAGGGGGTCAAGAGAGAATTCAATTAGAGATGAAAATGGAAAAGGTGCATTTTTCAACTTACCTTTCATTTTTCCAAACAAGTGGCAGCAGTGAGCTGTATAGGGACAATGAAATATTTGTCAAGCAGTTTAAACTTTTTTCATTTTTTAAGGATAAATCAGAAAACATTCTCAATCAGTTATAAGAGATAGTAAAAGTCCATATGAACATGGAATGGCCAATTCTTCAAAGCCTTAACCATTGCAGTTTTAGCTTGTTCAGCAGTGGTGGGCAGAGGTAATGAATATATAATTACAACAATTTGTATGGATAAAATTGTCTTGTTTAGAAAGACTTCTCAAATGTTTGTAATCAGTTTCCTTTCCAAGACAATTTGTAATAACAATTTCTGCCCTTTTCCCTGCTTAAGTCCTAATTTTAAATTATAAATGTTCAAAGTCATTGTAAAAGTATGATGGTGTTATGCCATAAAGATGCATAATTTTATTTTTATTTTGAAGTTTCTCTTTATTTGTTTTAGTGTAGATTATCAAGCCCTTATGAGATAAGCCAGACCTTGCCCTGTGTGGGCAGCTGTGAAACAGTAACAATTACAGATAGAGGCAGTGATTTAGCCAAGAGCTGCCGTGCTTGCTCAGTTCTCATTGGCACGACTGGGATCACTGCACTGTGTCTGCAGGGTATGAGGTCTTGATAAAGGCCTTTGAGCTAATGCTGAGGATAATGGTAGAGAAAAGGAGATTTCCAGCAAGATCCTGGAATGATAATTTATCAACTTCATAAGCTCACTCTGTAAATTACAGAGTGATTTATAAAATCAGCTTGAGATATCTCAGCAATTCTTATTCTGTGTCTGTACTTGTTAGCTTAGTTTGCAGTCATTTCCTAAGCATTTATTCTTTCCAAGAAAAAGTCACTATGATATTTACAGAAACCTTTCTGCATTTGGTAAGGGATAATTTAAAATAATTTATCATTACATATCCATTTATGGTCTTTCTAGTTAGAATAGATGGTGTCATATATAGCCAAACATTCAAATATATTTTAATTCTAAGAAGCCTTTCATTCATTTTGGGACTACCAGTTCTGAGTTGGGGTTTTCTCCAGTGTTGGATAAAACTTACTGAAGTTTTTATCATATTCTACAAAAAGTAATTGGAAAGTGTTGTTACTCTTGTAGACAAACGCAGTCATCTCTGAGAAATTACCTGGAAAGTAAATCTTCAAACTCAGTGCAATAATTAAAATCTGATAATTGCCTTTTTGATGTATTTGTAATACTGTATAATTATTAAGTTGTGAATGCCGTGTCTCTGGAAGTGTTCAAGGCCAGGTTGGATGGAGCTCTGAGTAACCTGATCTAGTGTAGGGTGTCCCTGCCCATGGCAGGGGGATTGGAACTAGATGGTCTTTTAGGTCCCTTTCAACCCAAGCCATTCTATGATTCTATGATTAAAAACATGCTATATTGACTATGAAGCTATTCTGCTTTTCAATAAAATAGTCTCCTTTTAAAAATCTGAATTTAGCACTCCCAGCCTTGGTTCTTTAGTGGTGCAAAGATTGTACATGCAGATGCAAAATTAAGCCTTTTACCTCTTTGTGAGCACCTGCAGTTGGTATTGTTTGGAAGTGGAAACGATGCACAATGTACCCACCACATCTCTGAACATGACAGAGTTCAGAGAGATGAATTGTTTTCTCACAAATTCAAAGGTCTTTAAAACAAATGTCCATTCTCTGAACATTCTCTAAATTATCCTTTTCTTGTTCCATGGGAAAGAAATTTCGATCTCTGTTTTTTGTTTTTTTTTTTTTTTTTTATGTAAACCAAAATAATGTTTCAATTTTTTTGCCTTGTTTCATCTAAAACATAATGGGCTATGTTATAGACACAGAAATGAGCTGGAGTGAGAATTCATTTTCTGTGCCTTTTTTAAAAGATTTTGTTATGAGCCTGTCTGCATTTTAAAGTGCCAGAACACGTCTATAAGCCTAGTGCCTAATAGATTCACTGGCTTTCAGTGGAAGTGAAAGGGCTCTTCTGTTCAGATTGGATTGCAAGATTGGGGTCTTTGTAAAATAAAATGCCTACTAGATGGATCAGGACTGTCTGCATGTTACTTATATAATGCAATATGAATAATTTTTTTTTTTAAGTGACAGAGAGTTTTATATTTTATATCTAATGAAATAAAGCTTACTCTAATTTTCATTTCAGCCTGTCACAGGAACAAGAATTTCATCTACAGTTGCTGAATTTTTCAAAGTGAAGGAAAAAGGACATTACATAGGTAAGATTATTCAGTCTGGTTCTGTTTGAAATTACTGAACTTCCTTCTATTTGACAAAATGTAAAATTAATGTTTTTGGAATCTGGGGACTTCAATAACCGAAGAAAATTAAAAAATAAAGGGAGTTTTACTGAATTGAAATAGGTTGTTAGAAGAAAATCAGCCTCTGGTAAAGGAAAGGGAAGAAAAATGATAAAGAGAAATCACATTGACAGAAACCTCAAACATTATGGTAACAAGTAGGTCAAAAGAGTTGTTCAAGACAATATACCTTTCGAGTATATATTATCAAAAGCACCCCTAATTCTTTAGGCAGAAAGACACCTGAGATCAAGCAAATGCTAATTTGTAGCTAACCATTAAACAGCTACTTGGGTGATGGGAACAAAAGAATATATATAGTGCAGAAAATGAAACCAAGATTATTTGAATGAAAAGATATTATACCAAAATAATAGGAAAGTAAATATAGAATGCACTTGATTTTTTAAAATAAACTAAAACCTCAAGTTCTGTTGGATAGATCTTCTGTGGAAATTTGATTATTATATCCTAGATATTAGAAAGGGAGATAAAACCAGTGTCAACCACCTGGACTGTAGAGAGGAGCTTCCTTTTTAAACTCAGTTTTAAGGACTGCTGGAGAATGCAGCAAAGTAGAAGTTATGCAGTAAAGTGGCAGTCAGGCAGATGCAAGATGTAACAGCAAACCTTCACTTCCCCTCAGAGATATCACTTTAAAAACAGATGGGTTGGAAGATGTAGGCAACAAAGGAGGAAAAGGGTTTTATGAAGGCTCTAAGCATGATTTGTGAGATGTTGTAAGACAGATGCTGGAGATCTTCAGCTCAGGTTATCTCAGTGAGAGTTGAGACTGGGTACCAACTTGTACTTGGCAAGGCCAATGATGTGAAAGTCCACATGTATTTAGTGCTACCCTAATGCAGTAGGATAATTTAAATGGGAAAACACTCCTGAAACTGCAGCCTAATGGCTGCTCTGTAGTAAAGTGAAGAAACTGTATTGACTAGGCAGGAGACTGACCTACCTAATCAAATACCTTTGGGAAGAATTTTTAAGTATCAAAACCCTTTTCCATACAGTGTTAGGGTTGTGATATCAGGCATTCAATAGTCAGCAGTTCCCAAGGGGTAAGGTGGTAAGCTCAGCTCAGCCCTATTGTTTTTCACCATGTAGAAAAGGTTACATGGATGGAGCAGGGGACAAGTACTTTACTAGACCAACATGTGTGGGTGGAACTGCCTGTCCCCAAGGCTCTGGGTATCATTTAGAGACAAGTTGCTTGTTGAATTGCTTTTGAACATTCTACATCTGCTTTTGACCATTCTACATCATGGACTGCAGCCCAGGGGATGAGCCAGGCTCCTTAGAGCTACTCCAACTCCAGTCTTTGTCCTCTGAGACTATGTTGCTCCCGGAGAAGGGAGAGAATGATGGGATAAAAGTAAAAAAATAAGTCACTGTCCCTCATATGACCTCTGCTGGACTCCCATAAAAGAAGTATCAGTACTTAAGAGGATAGGACTACCCTTTCTAATGCAGTTCTTTAATTTGCTTTTGTTTTGCCTGTGGTGAATTTAGATAAGCCAGATATTTAGCAAAGTCCACAAAGAGTAGAAGAGGTATTTTTGGAGAAGGACACTTGGAACTCACTTGAGTAGGTGAAAATTTTTTATGACTGTGCTGGAACATGTGACACAAATCTGGTTTTCCTCTGAAGATTTCAACTTTAGCAGCTTACAGATACTGTTGATTTTGCAGGCCAGGATATGCTGACCAAAGGAACCATTCTAGCTCCCCTTGATATTGCTGGAAGAGTCATCTTTGACTTTAAGGGTGCATGGCCTTAGCCAGCAGTATGCAGTTGTGTTTGGGGATAAAGGAATTTCCTAGCCACATGTCAACACCACGATTTCTGAACAGTTGAGTTCAGTGCAAATGGCGTAGAGCATTACAGAATACCTGGTGGAAAAAGAGCCTGCCCAGGTGATTGTGATGTGATCATACTCTGGTAAGAGGAATGCATCAGTTATCTCAGTATATTTTGGATCAGGGTCTAAATGAGATGTTGAATACCTTGAGATACCAATGACTTCAGCAATACTTAATGTTTTGACCAGCAGGATATTGCTTTACCAAGACAGAGAGGTGCAGTAGAAGACAATTTTACTCAGTAAAATATAAGTGGAATAAAGGGAGGCAGAAGCTGCCAGAACAGGGAAGCTGTACTGCATGGACTTATTTCATCTATTTAACAGAAATTTGCACAATGACAACTCGCTTCCCCTTTCTCCATTTTCGTAACTCTACAATACCAGGGAAATATGTTAACATGAATATGACTCTGTTTCTTTTATTTATAAGAATAAACCTCTTTTCTTTCAGCTGCAGACCCATTATTGCAACAGTAAACAAGAAAAGAGGGATCAATTTTAAACTGATAAACAGTGAAAATTTTCACTGGGTAGAATAAGTTATATTGAGGTTGCATGCTGAGAGCAGGAGAAAGCCAGCGCTTGTGTTTATTGAGTTTTTTAAATGAAAAGTAAACTCACAAAGCCTTGTTTATTAGTTTTTTTTAATAGCAACAAATGAGGTACTGTGGTATGCACATATACATATTGACAGTCAAATCTGAACTTGTTCTCCCCCATGCATGAATATGTAAGCATGTACTAATAATTTTACATGCAGAAACAGCTGAAAAGCCCAGAGAGAGTCTGGCTCCAGCAGAGCTTTTCCTGTTTACTTTGTTGTCTGTTGGATCATGGGCTTATTAAAATACAACTCTAATTTGGTAAAGCTCTCAAGTAGAATTTGTCCAAGAGGTTGCTTTGCACAAGTGCACAGTCTAATGATTAGTTTGCCATTGGGAAGAAAGAAATGCACATAAAAAGATAGAACCAATCATATAATTGGGTTACATGAGTGTATTGGAGAACAGTCTGTTTTAGAAAAGATACCAGATTGGTAGATACAGAATTTCAACACTAAATTATTTCTTTTGATACCCATCTCTTACAAAAAGAGAAGAATCATTGCTTTTTTTCTTTTCTGCCTTACAAGCAAATAAGAACCAAAGCAGAATCCTCTTTAGGCCATACCTTTTATTTACCACAGTCTGATTGCCAAAGACAGAATTCAGCTGAGAATAATACATATGCATGATGATGGACTTGTCATCCTTGCCTAGTGGGAAGGGAGGTTCTGGATGGGGAAAGTGAAAGGTTAAATTTAGCACCAGCTGAAAACTCTTTGAATTTTGAAGTCCAGGTGATGCTGTACAGTCTAGGACTTTGAAAGCATCCTCTTTGGACATGAGAAGTGGGGAAAACTAGAAAACCTAAAGTAGATCAAACCCATACTGGTGGGTCCATCAAGTACAAAAGCTTGTACTTGTGGGCAAGGTACTGATAGATGTAGAAGGCAGTAGCCTATTAAGCTTTGGAAAACTCTTTCTTGTATTCTCTAATGACCATGCTGCTGTCTGCTGAAGAAAGAACATGAAAATTATATTGCTTGAGATGTGTGCAGGGACTCCTTAGTGGTAACTCTGTGCAGTTCATCAAGTAAAGCCTCCCTTCTTGCCATTCCCAAAGGCTGAAACAGTTACTTGAATGGGTTTTTATATAAACAGAACATAAAACACCCATCTGCAGGTATGCTACTGATATAATTTTAAATGTTTTGCTTAAAAATACATAACTGTGAATATTGAACTCCTTAGAAACGCCTCTGAGGATGAATAAGGCAACTTCAAATTCATCTATTCTAAGTAACTTGAGAGGTAAAGGATCTGTGTATGTTACCTCTACGTGTTCCTCTTCATTCTGTGGAAACAAGATGAAATACTTGTAGCCATATTGAAGAAGTGAAGCACTGGAGTTTCTAAAGGCCTCATAGGTGAATTTTATTTTTAAAGAGTATGAGAAAATTCTTCTCCTGGAAAATGAAGACTCATTTTCCAGGAGTCTTCACTTTTTAACACTGGGAGACTTGTATTAACCTTGCTTGCAATCTTGACCTCAGTTGCAAGACAGCTCTTCCAAATCATGAAGCAGAGAAAAACAGAGAATCTCCCATTATTGCCACAGCTAAAGGACCCTTTTTGTTCCCCTACATTGTAGGAGCTGGTGTATGTGCTTATCCTGTCTTTCAGGAAATGGGAATGATGTGAATGTGCTGAAGGGAAAGGATTTTCTTGCTTCTTCTCTCTGGCACCTGCACATGCTGTATCCAGAGGCTGTGCACATACTGTATCTGCCATGCTGCAGTGCCTCTAGGTCACATTTGTTGAGATACATTATGCCATCAGCACTGCAAAATTCCTGAACATTTACTGGGGATATTAGATTTGCTGTTTCTGAAGTGAGGCTTATAAACTGCATCACCAGCTATTAGGAGAAGGCATGCAGTATATTTGTAGCTGTACGTTAAGAAAAATCTGTATATATCTATGTTTTCTATTCACTGAAGGAAGAATCACCTCTCTCCTCCTTATCAAATCCAATGAGTCAGATAAATACCTCTCTTTCCTCTCAAATGATGACATAGTACAAATACTCTCCTATCATATAAAAAGATATGTGCCTGCCTCTCTTTTTCCTTGTAATGTTTCATCATTCACTTAAAATGTGTAGTGTTTTCAAAATCACAAGAGAATTTTGATGGGTTAGGCAGCATTAAAATGAGCAATTCCAATCTAGTGCTTTAATTATTTTCTCTTTTAGTTTAAATTTCAGCCTTGAGCTACTTGTGAGGCAGTAATGTGTGTATCTTCATTACTGACTGACCATTCTGTTGGGTTTTGTTACTGTTTTCAAGGCAGTTGAAACAGCAATGTATTTATGGCAAATCAGGTCAATGATATGTTGGAGACACATAAAACTGTCTTAAAAAACATTAATAAAAGACTTTTTTTCCCAGTAACTAGTGGCATCTATATTTCTTACAGCAGAATATTTCTTGCTCTGAATGTCTAAATAAAACCCATGACTGTGCAGAGAAGCAGTTTGTGAATGCTGCATGGGTCTGGACTATTTATTCTCTCAAAGCACAGTACTGTCTTGGTGGTCTACTGAAAAAACATTTTCCTTTCCTTTTGCACTATTTCATAATATAGCTATAAAAGGGAGTGTTATAACATAACTGCTCCCTGTAATGCAGTGCATATGAAGTGCAGTCTGAAAAGATACTGTGAAACAAGAAGTCCATTTTCCATGTGTCAAAACTTACTGTCACAGTGGGTTTAGTTGTTGAATTTTGAGTAGAAGTGTTGTTACGTATATCTGTCTCACAAACAAAGGAGAAGTTTTGTTATTCCTAGGCCTTGTACAAGTGAATGTAATATTTAGCAAAGGTAATTTTATATTTGTATGAACAGAAGACTTTTTCCTGACCAATTGAGTCACATAAAACAGAGATGTGCATTATGGTGTCTCTTAGCACAAGGCCCTGGGAGGCATGTATGAGAGCAAAGGGGGGAAAAGGTACATGACAAATTATAAACTGCATGTCTATCTGTCCAGAAGTTATTGCAAAGCTAACACCCATAACATCCCCTAATATCATGTAATGATATTAGTATCTATTGATTTTTGTGACAGAGAGAATACCAGAGGAATGGTGCATGAAAAATTAAGAAAAAACAAGATGAAAAATAACACATTTAAAAGCAGCCTTGCTTTTATGGAGGTGATAGAGGGAGGAGGAAAATTAAAGATGCCAAAGTCCTTACACTTAAATGTGTTAGAAATTGACTATCTTTTCTTTCTTACACATACATTGTATATAGCAAATACCATACCAAACATCCTGTTCCCCTCTTTGAACCCCAGACAAGGTTTCCCACTGATAGACTCAAGACTTTGTTGAAGGTAAGAGGCAGAGAAGCCCTAAAAAGCCCTAATGCTAGTGTGCTGTAATGCAAGAACACAGCTCTGCAAGAACACAGCTCTGTTGGTATCTTGTGGATTGCATTCACTGAAGAAAGGGGCAGGATACCATGATCAGTGTTGAAATGCAAACATGGCACACATTGGATTGCTACAATGTCCACCTGGGTCTGAAATATTTGGGAAATTTGGGTGGCATGTTTATACCTGTGCTTCCACAAATGCATCCAGAATGGATCCACCTATGTTATCCACACTGGTGTTTGCCAAGACCCTTAGTTGAAACCCAGTTTAGAAATATTGCTGGCCTGCAAAAGAAACACTACTTCAGAGCTGATAGCCACTGGTTCAGCAAAAACAGTTCACCGTTCTTTTCAAAATAAGAAATTTCCAGAACTATGTACCTCTATGTACCTGTAATGCAGCTGATTTCTCTGCCACTGACATCACTTACTATCCTTTTTTGCTTTTGCTTATTATCCTCTGCAATGTCAGACCATAGTTCTGTAGTTTGTCAAACTTTTACATTTTCTACCCTATTTACCTTCTTCTTCTTATGTGAGCAATGATCTGTTTGGTTTGGGTCCCCAGGGACTGTGGTAATGGTGCTTGTATGTCATTCAGTTAGTCTTCCTCCCTTGCTGGAAAGACTCTTCTCTTCATGCTCATAGAAATGCACATATATTTAATAAATAGTCAAGTGCAATTAATTCTGAGTCATATATGGGGCTTCATTTCTCTGGTTATCTTTATGTTTAGAAATATCTTCAACAGGGATTATTTGATACTTTGTTTTTTTAATATTTTTTCTCTCAGTCTTATACCCTCAATTTCCTCTTTCAGATGCTCATTTAAACTTTAAAAATATGGGGTAACATGCAGGAGGTGACCAGATAACAACACATTTCTATGGCACAGCTCTGCATACCTGGTAGTCTTCATACTTAATTCCAGTTAATGTATTTTGTGTTGGAAGTCATGCCCAGGTGATCCTTTAATGAAAGGAATTCTCTTGCAGCAGCTGTAAACAAATAAAAAAAAGGTCCCAATAATAAATCATTGAGATGATCTCACATGTTAGCTAAATGTTTATCTTTTTTTTCCTCACTTAGACTGTCATGAAGGAGAGAAATAAGAACATGACAGATTGTAGAACATTGCAGAGGACAACATGTACAAGCAGTTTAGTTAAGTTTTCCTACAGTCCTTCTTTCTGCTGCACTTCTATGCAAGTAGTTCGATCTCAAGCAGAGAAAAAAGTAATTTTGTCAGCTCCTGTGGACCAAATTCCAGCTCCAAGCCAACTTGTGCCTCTTTGAGCTGGGGTTCATGTGGTCTCAATCAAGGATGGCAGAAGCAGCTGCCTCCTCTTCCTGTTTCTGAGCAAAAGATGAATGGATGTGGTACCAGATGAAAGGCAATGCTGAATCTAATGGAATTAGTTTATGGGGCAAGCCCCACCCAAAAGAATTTTATTTGTCTCCCAGCTACAAATGAAATTCATTTGTTTTGCACTTCCTGACAGATTCAAATGTGTCAAAACATTAGGGTCATGAAGGTGGGTGGTTTGCATTGACAACTGTGGTTTTTTGTGGCACACTGGTTTAAATCAGCAGATTTCAAACAGATTTTGTATTGAAGTTTAGGACAGAGTTGAACCCAATTTTCATGAAGAGAGTTGTGGTGTGTGAACAGATTTATACGGCTGGTCAGTAGCTGGAAGCAAGGCCATTAATGTTTGAACGTCTCTGGATGTTATCTGGGGAACTGAAAAAGCAATTAAGTATTTAGAGAGACATTTAAGGGACAAAAATTAAATCAAATACAAAATAAAGGCTTAGGGAATTCAGTGATACAAGGGAAGAAGACTGAAATGATTGAGAAGAAAGCTGCAGTAGAATGGGAAAATACTGTTTAGAGAACATGAGAATTAAACGGAATAAAGTTGAGATCAGCCAGAAAACTCCAAGCCCTTCATCTTAAAAGCAGTTATAGGTTAGGGTGCAAGTGCTAGGCATTTTTCCTGTATCAACAAGAGATGCAGTCATTTAAATTTGGAAGAGGTAAAGATGTGCTAATTAAACGCACGCCTTGCATCAGCTGAAGAGTGTGTGCTTGATCTTAACAGCTCTTTGTAATTTTTCAGATGAGAATCTTACCTTCTCTTGCAAAGGCCAGCTGCCAGAATGATGGTGCTTCTTAGGGATAACATTGGGACATTTAAATGAACTGTCTGTGAAAATTGTAACATAATTTATAAGGACAAGAAGTAAAACTGGATATATTGTTGTTACTTGCATGTCAAATGGAAATTGGACATTTCGTATCCCATCGGATTTCTAGCATATTGATAAACTACAAGATGAAAGGAAAGCACAAGACTGATGGCTGAGTTGGATGCACCTATTCATAAGTGATGTTTGTTCCTAGTGGCAAGGAACTAATATATATTTACTTTGCTTATTTGTGTTTGAGTGTGCATGTTACTACTGCTTGTTTTGTTGACAAATACTGCTAAAAGCTGTGGTATTTAGATTCCAATAAGGTGCAAAAACTAGATCTTTAAGGGCAACTTAAAATACACTTTTTCTCCAGGGATATTAATTATCCAGATTTATGATGTATATAATTTATAAAAGTACATATGTATGAAATGCTTTAACTACACTGTTCATGGAAGTTTATAATTATAGCATACCATGAATACCTAAGTTCTTGAATGCTATGCTCCTGTTTTTGATATTGAAAACATTTTGTTTAAGGAAAACTTCTCTTAAAATAAAACTGATGAACTCATTGTAGCAACTTTACTTAGTCTCCATAACATTTATAAATGCATTTACACTACGGGTCTTTTTTTTATATTGGGATGTTATGGTACATTACATTCAGCTATCTAGGTCAGATCATATTAGTTATTTATATTTAATAGGTTTAAAAAGAGTTTGAGCATTTGGTGTGTACATTTTTCCTGAGGTAACAAGCTGAATGGCAGTGCAGATACCGGGTGGGTCTGGTGGTTGTCATGGCACTCAGTGCAAAGGAGCAGAACTATCTCAGCCCCATACTGAGGGAATTAAAAATGAAAATGAGAAAGATTAGGTAATGTAATGTTGATTTTTCTTGTGATTTCTACTTCCTCTGAGAAAAACAAGTGCAATATTTTTAATGAGAAAAAAATATCTCTCAAATACCCTTGGTATTTAGAGATGTCAGCATTTTGTGTGACAGCTTATTTCTAGCTTGACCGCATTTCTGTTTATAAAGCATCACTAGAGGTTTATATTGGAAGGAGATGATGCTCCAGATGATACTTGCAAACTGCCTATAGTGATACTCTAGAAACTAGCCAGATTTAACTCAAGTATATAAATAAGATTACTTCTATGCTCTGTGGTGTTTTACTCTCTGTCTGTCCCCCTTCTGTGACTTCTCTCATGCCAGCACAACCACCCAAAACATCTCCAGAAGCTGCTCCCATGCTGCAGCTGGTGTTGTGTGGCATGTGTAGAATGTGGGGGGCTCCAGCCCCCTCACCTGCCTGCTGCTGCTCAGCCAGCCCTGGGTGCAGCTCAGTCCAGACACTGTACTCTGCACACTGTTGTTTTCCTGCTCCTTATTCATGAAGTGCAGTTAAAGGAGCCTCAGATGATATTCACTAATTTTTAGAAATCCCTCAAGAGACACTCATGGGTACCATCCAGGGAAGAGGAGTTTTGGGCTTAATCTCCAGTGGTTTGGGGTAGTGAAATGTGGAGATCTGGCTGTTTGCAGATCACACACCCTGTGGAAGCTTTTGTCAGCATGAAAGCATTTTTTTTTAAATCAGCTGAGGACCAGTTGCCAAAGATTTGGTACAACCTAAGCAAGGATGCTGTGCTGGAAGACTCCCAGATAGAAATCAGGTACCAGCCCAGGAGGACCTTCAGCTTCCACAAATTTTCTATTTTGTCTGCTGGCTCTGGTCTCATTTTTTTTGATATCTGCTGTCCAAAACACCAGTTCTCCCACACATGTAGGGATTGCTGTCTTGATGTCAGGTCATAGAACAAATAGAGAGGAAATGGGCTAATCTGGGAGTGGTTGAACTTTTAAATATCTTCATATGGCTGAGAGCCACCTGCACCCTTCCTGCTCTGTGCCCAGCACCTCATCCCCAGAGGGCACCATCCTGATCACTATTCTCCAGATATTTAGTAGCCTGTGGACAGTGGAATATGGAAACAGTAATCTTGGTTGTTTGTCTGCAACACTCTCATAGCCTCAATCTGCTCTGCAGTACAAGAGAATAAAAATGTTAAGTGTTGACAAGTGTTTAACTCATCTCCAAATTACCAGCAGCATGATCCTACAGGATTTCCTTTTCCCCAGGTACATTTGCAAATATGTGTTTACATTTACTGGCTGGAAGTCAGTGACAAAAATGATCTGAAATGAAACTGTGAAATGTGCTGCTTAGAAGAGTCAGCATCATAGGAGAAACAGAGTAGGCAGAGAGTAATCTATCCAGGATGCTGCCAGGCCAGGCTGCAGAAGGATGACAATCTATATTCATTAAAGATATTTAATAATTTTCTAAAAAAATAAATGTAAAAAGTACGTAAGGAAATATGAATGTTATTATTGATTAAGCTTTTGAAGGGGAATTTTTCTCAATAAAGGAAACCATGTTTTCTACTCAGTCCTTTTCTTGTGTTTTCATTAAGCAATTTAATATGTCTGAATCTTACTTTATGTTGTATTTCCTCTTTATTACTTTATATTACATCTCTGTGTTCAGAGATTGAATGATATAATGCCTGGCTAGAAAGAAAGTATGCCTTCTGTTCAAACATATAATAATTTCTGACCAACTTTACTGCTTTTATTGGGGAAAAAGTTATTAAAAAGCCCATAAGGTGTGTTTGTTTTCTTTTTGATCAGAAACTTTGGTACTCACGTTTTTCTATTTCCTATCCAGAAATAAAAAGGTGCTCTGTCTGTTCTGTAAAGGCCCTCTGTTGCACTGTTAAAGTCAATGGGAAATTTGCCCCAACTTTGATGGGAATGGTACCAGACCCTGCATATATAGCAGAGGGCAGTATTCATCTTGGTGTAATGGAAAAGATGTGCATTTCAAATATCTGGCAGTCATTTTTGCTTGCTTTTTATAACCAGTCAAAATGCATGTAGTAGTGCTTCCTCAAGACAAATTAAAAAAATCAATATCAATTTTGGAGAACACCAGATTTCTAAAGAAAATAAATTTTCAAATCTATTATTTCTTACCATATATTTTTCTTGCAGAGATATTGCTTTGGTAGTGACTATTTAAAAAAAGAATAAAAAGTGGCATATGCTCTGAGAAAATGTTCTTTAAGCCAGCCTGAGACAAATAAAATCTCCAAAGAAAAATCCCTCTTGCTTAAGAATCTTCTCTGCTGGATAAAGCTCAGTAGCGGCAGCATAGGTGTTAATGTGTCTTGCTTGTGCCACTCTGCCACAGCAAATGTGTGTGTTTCCTCAGACATCTCTGACAGCTTGATCATCTGTATTGTTGAGTCAGTGGAGGGCAAACCTTACAGTCAGAAAAGATGACTTTCCACTAAATTCTTTGGGATTTTGCCCAGAACAGACCATAAAAAATGATGGAAGATTTTCTTCTCGGAGATTAACTTTCTGGAGACTAGAGCTACTTCATGTTTCAAATTAACTTATTTCATTGAAAGTACAATAAAGTCTTGGTCTTTTGATAAAACTTTTCCCTCTAATCTATGTAAAATCAAGGTATTTTTATGTTAAAATCTGGATATCATAATAGCAGGAAGAGCCCAGCAAGAATGAAGACAGATGTGGCAGTACCTAGCAGTGACAAATAAGAAGCCTGCAAATACTAATGTGCAGCTGTAGAGTTCCAAGAAAAGCTGTAGCACGTGAACTAATTATCAGTCTTCTGTGGTGTCTCCAGAACACCTGTGGGAGGTTCTAAACACAGTTTAAGTGCATGAATGGAAGGTTGTCCATTCTGGCATGCAGTGAAGTGAGGCAGGTGCTGGACATTTAATATAGAATTCAATCACAAATTTACTGTAGATTTCAACAGGAATTGAGTTTCTTCAAAAGTAAGCTTATATGACTATTGCAAATAAGTATGACTATTTATTTGCTGTATAAAACAGTACAATGCTCTGTTAAAAATATGTATTAATAGTTTGGAAACCTGGGGAGATTCCCTCATCCACAATCATGGTCCTTTGCTGATAGAGGTATTAACAAATGGAACAATATCTAGTCAAATTTATGGATTTTCATGCTAAACACATATTTTATGGAGTTAAGCATACTTTTTATTTCTGTAAGAGAATGAGATCATAGAAGATATTCTGTGGCTGTTTCAGGAAGGAATAGAAAAATCTGGATCTAGCCCTAATTAAAAAAATAAATAAATGTGGATTCAGATTGAAAAGGAAGTTCATGCTTCTTCTGACCTCTGTTCCAGGAAGAATTCTAGAAAGTTGCTTTGCAAATTCAATAATTTGCTTGTTTTTGGGTGGAGAATAAAATCTCACTTCAGTTCAGCAAAGCACCTAAGCCTGTACTGGAGTCCTGTTAAGAATTGGTGAGGTATCATTGCTGGAATTGAGCAAAAATGATAAAGTTACATAAGCCATTACCCTCAATCAAATGTCATCTAACTTAAAGTGTTTAACAAATAACATCCCCAAAAATACATATGTACTTCTGCTTGGAAGAAATGTTTTTCCATTTGTTGGTATCACAAACTGGAAAATTGTGAAACAGATGGTCTTTGAGCTATGAAATCACCTATCAAAACCCAGTCTGTAGTAGCTACTCTGCTTTCCACAAAGAGATTATAGGTCCTGCAGGTCACCTGAATTTCACCTTGGTTTCTCATTTGTGTGTCAGTGATTTTGAGTGTGGTCAATAGCCTCTCCTGGTACTCATTGCCATAGTTTGATTAAATTGACATCAGCTGAAGATTTACCCCTTCATGCTTTTGAAGTGTTGCTGTCAGGCTTTGTACTCCAGAGCGGCCGTAGGATGTGTGCTGAGGCTCTTCATTTTCAGAGGACGGATTGTGACAGAAGTGCTGAGGTGTCTGGACAGTGCCCTGGCCCTCTGTCTGCCTCTCCCACGGGCAATGGCTGCAGCCTTGGGTGTGTATCAAGCATCCCATCCTTGAGACAGTGGCAGTGACATTCTCTCTTCCCCTCCCAGATAAGTTTGTTGGTGTCCCCAAGGTGTTCCAGTAGCAGTACAGGAGCTGGAGCAAGAGCAAGGGGCTGGATGTGGGCTTTGGCTGGGGCAGTCTGGTGCTCTGCTGGGCAGCCCAGTGTCTGCCTGGAGCTGCTGCCATATAATGATTTGGGCTTGGCTATCCTGCTGAGAGAGAGTTTAATGGTGGGGATGTGAGAGAGATTGGTCCCTGGGCTGTTTTCTTTTGGAGTTGAGGCAGGACAGAGTGGGATGATTTTCCTGGTCCTAGAAACAGTGCAAATGTGGCAATTACACACAGAAAATAATCTGTGTGTAATTTAGATAAACACATTTGTTCAGGTTCTTATGGTTAAGGAGCCAAATTCTTCCATTTGCTGCAAAATGAAATGAAACCCACAGATCCTAGGAATTGCTTAATATTTTTGCTCCTTGCTTGTTGCTGGAAGAGAGAGTTTTTGTCATCAAATGCTTGAGAAATTGCATTACTTGTGACTGCTGCTGTGCCCT